TGATATATTCCAATGGAATTACTGTGTTGAATCATCTAGTTTCCAAGTCTCCAATTTTAATTGTTGTTTAATAATATGAGTGTAATAAAGTAAGTATGTAATCTAGACCAGGGAAGAAGCTATCACAAATGATGCATGTGTAGTATATGTGTATACATAAATTGAATATTAATGAATCTCAGATTTTATATTTGGTTTGGAACTAGATAATCAATATAATAATTCATATGCATGAAAACAGTGCGTGGTGTTAGTGTCCTCCACAGCTTTGGAAAACTTAAATTTATGCCTGAAAACAAAGCTATGGAAGCCGATCTGTCTGAGTGGAACCATAATGTGTATCAAGTAACATGAAACACTTAATGCACTGCGTAGGCGGCCATCTCCATTATACTTACTCATGTTTAATGTATTGTGCACTTCCTACATGGTGGAAATAAAAATTATGTACCCAGTCGATATTGGTCTTCTGGGTTTTAACGTCATGTAGGTATAATTCATCCCTGGAGGTTGAGTAACTGTTTTCCCCTGAAATGTTGGTATCTAGCTACAAGTCCGCACGATGTTAGAATCCAGAAAACCAACGTTGGCATCTTCACCGCCGTGAGAACCTCATACTGTATGTATCTAGTGTTGTTGTTGTATATAGATGTTTTCAACTTACAAATTCAAATAAAACTGATCTCAAAACAGATATTAACAAAAGAATATTTTAATTTATTCTGTGTCTGTGGCCATATCGAGCAATAATATAGCATACTGGTACTGTACTTGTGTTCATGAAATTAATTAAACTGTGAAGTATCTAAGAGAGAACACTTTTGTAAGTAGGCCTACATCAGCAACCTTTAATAACAAATGTCTTATACTGCTCAAACTAAAAGGAAATTACAAACCTCGACGGTCAGAATATGTTCAGAAATTAAATTATTTAGCAGATAATTGCAATTTGTCGATGTCAGTGACCACATGAAAACAAATGGTTAGAATGTGGAAACTAGCTAAATTACCTACGCGTTAACGATATTAAAATAATGATTCATCGCGCTGATGATGGAGGCAGTATGACCTCTGAAACGTCGGTTAACATCGACCAGGCTACACAGCGCAACAACCTAGAAGACAGAAATCTTCATACTCTGATGACGGAGGCAGTATGGCCTCTGAAACGTCGGTTAACATCGACCAGGCTACACAGCGCAACAACCTAGAAGACAGAAATCTTCATACTCTGATGACGGAGGCAGTATGGCCTCTGAAACGTCGGTTAACATCGACCAGGCTACACAGCGCAACAACCTAGAAGACAGAAATCTTCATACTCTGATGACGGAGGCAGTATGGCCTCTGAAACGTCGGTTAACATCGACCAGGCTACACAGCGCAACAACACAGAAGACAGAAATCTACTCTAAACGTCTGCTATTTATCTGCTAATAGATTTCACGAAAACCTGTGGTTATGCAATGTTTTAACCCAAATCAAAATGCCAAAAATAGAACGTGTTATGTTTTTATAAAGTAATTTCTTGTCCTGCTGCCATAGTCACCCTTGAACCAACGGACGGACATTAATGAGACGTGATAAAATTAACATCCTAAGGGGCACAGGCTTGTTTTACGTGGAGCATAAACATTCCCACAAGTGTGGTATGAAATATTATTTATATGTTAACAATTACAAATGCAATGACGTTGCGAAGCTTTTAAATATCTAACAGATTTAATGGGATTCTGCATCAGTGTAAACTGTGAATGGAGTTGCGTCGCTAAACTGTGTATACTGTCGTATTAATATTAACGTAAGTTCTTTCCTGTTGCACTAGACACAGATAAAAGCATCATAATGATTAGTGACGCGTGTTTTTCTGCTTTATCTAATCTGTCGATATGAACTTTCGTAATATAATAGCGGACCTAGATACGGGATTTCCTTCAAACGGAACTGCGCCTCCGCATATCAGCCTTGGAAACCCTATATGACATCGATCCAGGAGTCCTGACGCGCACACTCCATGTAATTCACAGCGTCTTACTTATATTCCGACAGCAGGATGAATACAAACAGGTGATGGTGGCTCCTTCAAACATCTGAGACATAACAAAACTACCAACACTCATTGGCTTCTGTTTCTAAATTCGGTTCTGATGCAGGAAGAAAGTGTAAGATAGTTCCAGCCTAAGCGTCGTTGTTTTAAAAATGAATTCAACATGAGAAGATTCTGATTGTTTAAAAACATCATATATCGCAGCTACAGAAACTGCATCTCACAGGTAAGAATAAAAAATGTGTTCCTCCTTCCCGAATTATTCTTGAGGTATTCAGATATAAGTCTAATATTTCATGTTACATTGGTCTCTGTCGCCCTTCCAAGGCCGAGTGGTTTTAAGCCGCTGCGAATTTTCGTAATTATATTCCTATCAATTTGTATTCCAGTACGTTATTTACTTTTGGAAGGAAAGAGTAAGAGTCAATGGATGTTATTATTGAACCTAAAGTTATATTTAATGAGAATTACGAGGGCTAAAAATTTAGCACGCGAGGCATTTGTAAACATAATAAAAACACTTTCGATACCATAAAAGGCAAGAAACTTCTTAATCTTCTGAACTAATATAAGCTTCTCAAAAAGGGAACTCCGCAGATCAAGTGAGTAAAGTAATTAATACTGTATATTCCGTTTAATTGGGTCATCGGTTAATCGGGGCAGCCATTTATTTGGGACAAATCTTAAAGAACAAACCTTTTTAACTCTTTACGTGGAACTTCGCGTAATTAGGGCAACCGCTTAATTGGGCCCAAGTGTTCTAGTCCCAATATGCCCCAATTAACCGGAATCCACTGTATTCCATTAAATAATCACGGTCGAAGCACGTGTATTAACAGCCGATTGAACGTCGTTACAGATCTGGTTATGAATTAAATAAAGCCGACCCTGTCATAATTTTACAAAGAGGCATGATCGAAGGTTCTGTCTGTCACAAGCAATATTGCCACAAAACACGATTCTAATAATATGTCATCCATGCGCCGTTCTCAAGTCACGCAAGCATAGTGCATTTTAGTCAAATGATACAACCTCATAAGATGTCATACAGAACATAATGAAAAAAGCACGCATAAGGACAACGAAATGATCATCTTGAAACAGCCTGCTTTTAAGATTAAGTCTTTATGTTATCTGTAAATAAAGCGTTTAAAGTAAGCGGATTCTGTTTAGCTTTTGTTTCTTTCTGTATGCCTATCTCCTTTCAGTTCATAAACTACTTGACGGTTTTCGAATGTACGTGCATGGTATTGACTGTCAGACGTAAAAGGGCGATTTTCAGATGAATCCCTATCTGTCAAACGTAACCCTGCTGCACATGAAGCTCAAATAATATTTTATTCGTTATCTTAAAAAAATATTATCCTACAAAAAACCTTTACGTGTCAGAAAGTAATATTCACATTGAGACCGTCAACTTTGACCCATATTTCATTTCCTTCGATAGACATGTAGTAAATATTTAACGAAATACGAAGAAAGATAAGAATCTTATCATAATTATCATAGATTATATATAACGGCTCTACATAAGGTAATGTTCATTTCACCACTTTGCTCTATCACCAACATCACTGGCGCTAAATATACGTGTAATTTACGGAATATCAAAGGCTGATTCCGAGGACTCTGAATGTAGAAATTAAGAGCACACAAAATTCCGGAAATGCTAACATGCAGTTCAGAATGTTTTGTCTTTCTGTCTGCTATTTAAGAAAAGCAAGTATTAAAGATTAGTAGTACTTTAAGTTTGTTTCAGAGGTTTTTGCTGCCTCCATCATTAGGGCGATGACAATGGTAAACTTCTACCAGACTACACGGCGCTACAACCCGGAAAAGAGTTAAGATTTTTTCCGCTGTTGCTTATATTTGGTTCCTCGCGTTAAGGGAAGCGAATAGATGGAAACTGTTTGAGATTAAAGAAGCTTTAGGAAAATATTTGGACCTAAGTGGGGTGAAATGATAGGAGTGTGAAGAACTGCATAACGGCGAGTTTTACAATTTGTAGTCTTCACCAAATATTACGAGGCAATGAATTTGTTGATTAGCTGAGCATCTCAAGAAATACGCCCAAATCTGCTCAACGGTTTAGTTACAGTCAATAATTAATTTCTGTCCCACATTGCCTAGTTCGTTGCGTTTTTCAGTTGTCCATTAAGTATTTAACGTTGAAAAATTGACGTTATTAGGTCCATTCAAAATGTATTTAAATGTACTTTCTTTAAGTCGTGTTTTTGAGGTTTAATGTTACCTTAGTTTGTAGAATGTACATTTTGTTGTGTGAATCTGGCAACAATGGGAAATCAACCCAAGCTTCAGTCTCTTTGGCCGTGGCTTTAGATACATCCATTTAAACTGAAGAAAACAGTTTCAAATTTATGTGAAAGGAGAGTACCACTATATTTTCTTTCGTGTACTTTATGTACGCCACTTAACTCACGTCATATAAACAGGCCTATCCATTAGGAAATTTCTATAGTCGCTGTCATGCTTTTAATAGTTTATTTAATCGACTAGCAGGCCGCGAGCGCTTATTATCGAACTCAACATGCACACATCCACGTAAGCCTACGACAAAAAATGTCATATTGATTCTGAGTATGCAGAAAGTAGATTTGTTTAAAATAAGAGTAGCATTAGGTATTGTTGTTGTGTGCAGTGAAAAATTCAGCAGAAAGAGTAACATTGTGCTGTATAGTGTAGTAAAATGTACACATGTTTTCCGTGTGTGTTAGTTTCTATTTCGCAAAATTGGTTTGTATATATGATCTATTATTGCTAAACAAATGCATTGTTTAAATCCAATAACAATGAACATGGTAAGAAAATATATTTCATTGTATTAAGTGACTTATTCGCCATATAAAAATGCGTCATAAATGCTGTAGACCTAAATGAGATACATTTTTGATTATATAACAATTCCCATTGATAATAAGAATTTTTTAGAAGATTAATAGAGGTGTTTTTAAACTTCGTATGAGGTACGCGTTGGCTCGATAAAAATAAAGATTAAAATCTGACTTCGATTAGGCCTGCATTATTTGTAATAGTCGTCTCTATCAGATAATCAGCGTGTGGTGGTTTCGGAAGTACAAAACATCTGTGATGTGACAAAGGTGTGCTACAATTTAATTAGTCTGATTTCAGAATAATTCAAATGGCCTTCCCATGGTCCAGCATTATTGGATTAGGGAAACCAAAGTCTCATTCAGACGGCAATGAATCAGAACCAAGAAACCTGCAAGATGGTTTGCGGCAGATCGGGACGCAAGCGTGGCATATTCTAGTCCATGCAAATAACAACAACATTAGCACATACGAAGATGATGAATATAAACAAAAAGAATGTATCAGAAGTCTGGTTGAAATCGCCACAACCAGCGACAGAACATCGAGGCAAGATCAACAGATGGTGATGCTAATACCCCGCACTGCCTCCAGACTCGCTCCGATAAAAAGGAGTAAAACCTCCAAATTAAACGTGAGTACATTGTTATTATTGTTGTTATTATTATCATAATACTGTCCTTCCTTGTTTTGCCATCTTCGGGGTCTACATTTGTTGTTGAA